GCCAAATTCAGAGAGAATGCGGAAGAATCCGAGAGAATGTGAATGAATCCAGGAGAATAAGAAAGAGTCCGAGAGAAACCTAAAAAATCTTATAAAATCCAACAGGCTCGAAAAGAATCCACAAGAATTCGAAAAAAAATGCAAGAGAATCTGAAAGGAATCGAATGTGACAAAAAAAAATAGTGGGAGAATCCAACAGTAAAAGAATCCTAGAAAATCTGACAATTCAAAAGAATCAGAAAACCCAATAGAACCCAAAAATTGGAAGAATGCTATAAATAGAAAAAATTCTAAGCACCCACAAAATTTCAAAAAATTGAGAGAATTCGAGAAAATTCGTGACAAACTGAAGAAATCCGCGTGAACCCTAAGATATGAGAAAATCTCACCAAATTCCGAAAGAATACGGAAGAATCCGAGAGAATGTGAATGAATCCAGAAGAATTCAATAGAATCCGAGAAGATCGAACAGAATCCGCCGGATTATTTCAGATCCATCCCGGATTCGCCCATCTTCTCTCAGATCCTTCCAGATTCTTTCCGGTCCTCTCGAACTCAGCTCGGATTCTCCCATATTCTTTCAGATTCTTTTTTGTTCTTTGGGATTCTCCTGGATCCTGAATTTTTTCAGATTTTCTTTTCGGATACTCTCGTATTCCCCCAGAATCCGAAACAATCCGTGAGAAAGCAAGGAACTCAAAAAATTCAAAAATCGAAAGACCTGGATAAATGCAAAAATCCAAAGAACCAAAAAATTTCGAAAAAATATGAAAGAATTCCAGAAAATTCGAAAGAATCTGTGAAACGAAAAAATTAGAAAATAATTTGGGAGAATCCAAAAGAATACGTAAAGAATCCGAAAGGAAATGAATATAACAAGAGAATATGAAAAAATCCGATCAAAAACTAAGAGGATCGGAGAGAATCCGTAAATAATTCCATAGAATCCAACAGAATCTGGAAGAATACGCAAAGAATCCGAGAAAATCCGACCGAATTCAAAAGAATAAAAAAACCCGACAAAATTATAAAACAAAAACGATAGAATTCGAAAGAAACTGAAGAAATTCGCGTGAATCCGAAAGAATATGGGCGGATATGCGAAAATCTCACCAAATTCCGAAAGAATCACAGAGAATCCGGAAAAATGCGACAGAACACCGGAGAATCCGGGAGAATACGAAAGAATCCAAAAGAATCCGCCGAATTATTTCAGATCCATTCCGGATTCTCCCCTATTCTCTCAGATCCTTCCAGATTCTTTCCGGTCCTCTCGAACGAATTTTATTTCGGATTCTCCTGGATCTGGAATTTTTTCGGATTTTCTTGAATTCTTTGCGTATTCTTTCAGATTGTGGTGGAATCTCCGATCCTCCAGTGTTTTTGGTCGATTTTCTCGTATTTTCTTGTTACATTCCATTCTTTTCGAATTCTCTCAGAATCCGGAAGAATTCGAGACAGTCCGTGAGAAACCAATTAACTAAAAAAAAATCAAAAATCGCATGACTTCGATAAATGTAAAAAATCCAAAGTACCGACAAAGTTTCGAAAAAATATTAAAGAATCCGAGAAAGGTCGAAAGAATCTGTGAAACTAAAAATCCGACGATATTCCAGAGAAACCGAAAAAATCCGAAAATAATTTCAGAGAATCCGAAAGAATAAAAAAAAACGTAATGAATCCGGAAAGAAACGAATATAAGAACAGAATATGAAAAAATCCGACCAAAAACTTAAGAGGATCGGAGAGAATCCGTAAATAATTCCAACAGAATCTGAAAGAATCCGAAAGAGTACTCGAGAATCAAAGAAAATCCGACAACATTAAAAAAAATCTGAGAGAATCAGACAGAATCCGGAAGAATCCGAGCAATCCATGAGAAATCAAGGAACTCAAAAAATGCAAAAATCGGAAGAGGAATCGAGAAAATGCGAAAGAATCCGAAGAAATCGGCGTGAATCCGAAATATTCAGGAAAATATGAAGGAATCCGAGAAAATCGAACAGAATCCGAAAAAATCAGATAAAATCCGATAGGATCCAAAAGAATGCACGAGAATTAGAAAAAAATACAAGAGAATCCGAAAGGAATCGAATGTAATAAGAAAATAGTGAGAAAATACGAACAAAAATTGACAGGATCGGAGAAAATCTGAATGAATCTGAGAGAATCCGAAAACAAATCGACAGAATTCAAAAGAATCAAAAAACCCAACAAGATTTCAAAAAAATTGATATCAATTCGGGAGAAACTGAAGAAATCCGCATGAATCCGAAAGAATACGAGAGGATATGAGAAAATCCCGCCAAATTCAGAGAGAATCCGGGTAAATGCGACATAACACGGGAGAATCCCAGAGAATACGGAAGAATCCAAAAGAATCCGAGAGAATGTGAAAGAATCGAGAAAATCGAACAGAATCCGAAAAAATCAGATAACATCCGACAGGATCCAAAGAATCCGCCGAATTCTCTCAGATCCTTCCAGATTCGCCCCCGTTCTCTCAGATCCTTCGCATCTAGGATTTTTTCGGATTCTCTTGAATTTTTTGCGTATTCTTTCACATTTTGGCGGATTTTCTCATATTTTCTTGTTACATTCGATTCTTTTCGGATTCTCGTGGATTCTTTGCGGATCTACAATCTGAAAGAATACGCAAAGAATTCAAGAAAATCCGAAAAAATTCTAGATCCAGGAGAATCCGAAATAAAAAAAGAATCCGAAAGAATATGGGAGAATCCGAGCAGAGTTTGAGAGCTGGAAAGAATCTGGAAGGATCTAAGAGAATATGGGAGAATCCGGAATGGATCTGAAACCATCCTGTCGGATTTTATCAGATTTTTTCGGATTCTGTTCGATTTTCTCGGATTCATTCGTATTCTCCCGGATTCTCCGGTGTTCTGTCGCATTTTTCCGGATTCTCTGTGATTCTTTCGGATTCACGCGAATTTCTTCAGTTTCTCTCGAATTCTATCATTTTTTTTAAATAATTTTGTCGGGTTTTTTGATTCTTTTGAATTCGGTCGGATTTTCTCTGATTCTTTGCGTATTCTTCCAGATTCTGTTCGTTTTTGATCGGATTTTTTCATATTCTCTTGTTATATTCATTTTCTTTCGGGTTCTTTACGTATTCTTTTGGATTCTGTCGGATTCTCCCAAATTATTTTCTAATTTTTTCGTTTCGCAGATTCTTTCAAATTTTCTGGAATTCTTTCATATCTTTTCGAAATTTCTCGGTATTTTGGATTTTTGCATTTATGGAGGTCTTTCGATTTTTGAATTTTTTTAGTTCCTTGGTTTCTCACGGACTGTCACGGATTCTCCCGGATTCTGGGGGAATACGAGAGAATCCGAAAAGAAAATCTGAAAAAATTCTAGATCCAGGAGAATCCCAAAGAATAAAAAAGAATCCGAAAGAATATGGGAGAATCCGGGATGGATCTGAAATAATCCGGCGGATTCTTTTGGATCCCGTCGGATTTTTTCGGATTCTGTTCGATTTTCCCGGATTCTCTCGGATTCTTTTTTTATTCTTCCTCATTCTCTCATTCTGTTGCATTTTGCCGGATTTTCCGTTATTCTTTCGGAATTTGGTGAGATTTTCTCATATCTTCGGATTCACGCGGATTTCTTCAGTTTCTCACGAATTTTCTCGAATTCTCTCAATTTTTTTGAAATTTTGTCGGTGCTTAGGATTTTTTTATTTTTAGCGTTCTTCCAATTTTTGGGTTCTATTGGGTTTTCTGATTCTTTTGAATTGTCAGATTTTCTCGGATTCTTTTACTGTTGGATTACAAGCGAATCCGAAAAGAAACAAATATAACAAAAGAAAATCAAAAAAATCGACCAAAAACTGAAAGGATCGGAGTAAATTCTCTCATTAATAATTTAGCTTCTCAGGGATACCAACGAACAATTTTTAAAAGCACTAAACGTGCTCGCTTCGCTCGCAGTCTTTATATTCTTTTTCTATGAACCTAAATCATTCTGAAAAAAAAAATTCGATTAATATTTGATAAAAATTATCATGACCTGACCGAACCTGACCTGACAAGTATCTGGGGTGGGATTTTGTTTCTATAACGATAAAATATCGGTACCGATAAAATGTGGTCGTCTTTTTCTTTCGCATCTGAAATTTATATTTGGTCCTTGTCATTTATCGCTTCGTATCGTATCGGTATAAGCATTGCTAAGTGCGGTGTTGGTGAATCGTTACATACATAACTTTGTCGAAGTGGCCATAATTTCTACAATTAAAGTTTACTACTTTCGTTCACTATTTTACAAATAAATAGTTGCAGCTGAGTGTCAAAATTAGTATTATATACCACGGGGTCAAGACAGTACAGCTCTAAATTAAATTTTGTACAAAAAACGGCATTTATGTGGTCCGTATTAAATTATAATTGAGAAATTACGTCGTGACTGTAGTATTTCTGGAAAATAAATCAGGTACTAAAGACACAGGAAACTGACAGCCCGGATATTTTATCTCAAGCTTATTTTCGTGCATCTAAAGTACAGAGGAAACTCATAAAACGTCACTTCTGTTAAACCTCTTACGAACTTTGTGAAAAGCTTTACATGTTGAAATGTAATATCGTTAAATCGTAATGACTTACAGTTTGTTTACATTGAAAAAGATGGATACATAGGTGGAAACTAATAAATAAGAAAAAACTGTTAAAAAGGTTATAAAATACTAATACATAATTTACAATGTTATTTAATGACAAAGGAGCTATTTATACGAGTTATAAAACGAGAGTGTTTTTTAATGAATCGTAAAGGCGAAACGGGTGAAGAAAATGAATTTTATAACCGCAACGCACAATTTTTTTTCCAATTTTCAAATAAAATCAATGCGATTATAAAACTGAGTTTCTTGTAGCTGACGCAAAGTTATTAAAGTTTGCACGGAGTTTAAAGTACACAAGTTGAATCAATACTTACGTAATTAATTTGGACACAACTAATTTTGCTTATTGGTTTTTCAGGAGGAAGAAATTGTGAAGCCAAAGCAGCCTAAGAAACGAAAAAAAGTAATGTCTGATAGTGATTGACGGAACCAAGTGGTAGCAGTGGATTCGTCGTGTGTGAAGCACAGCGGAATTAAAGAACGTCATATCAGAAGCAAGCTTGTGATCATTACCGTTATTCAGATACACGTACTATGGTGAAGAAGAAGAAGTTTGTTAACAATAACAGAAGATTAAATAAAGTGAATACACTGCCTGTAGAAAGATTAAGACAATTATCGCTGTCTTGAAACATTGTTGAGTACCTTAAATATTGTCATTTAAAACGTTGTTAATAATTATTGTATTATTTTTACATGTTATTATGCAAATAACCCTCTCATGTGTATTCTGTATTTATATATTTTTGTCTGTAAATTGTTATTGTTAGTTCTCCCCTGTTATCATTTTTGCTATTCAAGGGTTAATAAGTGAATTAGAAAAAATGAAGTTTTTAAACGAACTGTAAATTGACATAGTGTTTTATTACAAGCGAAGATGTATAAATTTGTAAATATATTTATAAAGAGCACTCTCACTTTTAGTACGTCTCTGTCCACCTAGTAACATTTCGGTGCGCTGGCGTCACGTTGGCAGCTCGTTGACGTTTGCTAGTAACAAATCGGAATTCCCCAGAGATTACTAACCAAATGGGGTGTGTGTCATAAATTAACAATTATTATCAGTTAGTGAAACTCCCACTTTCCAAACAAAAAACGTGTGATACCTTTAGTTTCCGAATCAAACTAGCCATTTATTGCAATTTCGCCCCCCGGACGCCACTTCTATGTCAACACATAACCACATTCCACAAAAATGAGTTTCCTCTTCAAGAAGCGCAGACCCAAGGAGGAGCACCACTCCGTCGCCGTGATCGGACAGCCCACGAACGTGAACCACGATATCCACGTTAGCGTCGACGCCGAGGGCAACCTCGCCGGGTTGCCCTCGTCCTGGCTGCGCCAGATCGGGACCCAAATCACCAAAGATGAGCAAGCGAACAACCCCATGGCGGTGCGCCAGGCCGTCAAGTACTACAACTATTCCATGAAGAAGCAGGAAAAGGGCGAGATCAAGCACATCCTCACCGAGAAGATCATCGCCGAGGAGTCGAAGGAGATCGACCAGTATATGAACTCGAAAGACGCCCATAAGAGCAAGGATTCGGGGCTGGATGATCAGAGTCCGGAGCCGCTTTATGTTAACACGTGAGTAGCTAGTCTTCCAGGCTTATCTTATTTGCTTATTGAATTTTTTTCGACGTGAATAGAAGCCGTTCAGTTGAATGGAGATATGTGTAAATTTATTTAAGTGGATCGAGATAATCGACTTGTGTTCAGTGCTGTTTAATGTGATAGGGACGTGTATGCTAATCCGGAATAATGATGTTGATTAAACGTTAAGCATAATTAAAATTTATCGTTCCGTATTTGTTGTTTGAACGATGATAGGAATTAATTGGCGAGGGGCAACACATTCGATTGTCAACAAGTAGGCTGTGCGTTTTGTTGATTCGTTACTTGAGATTGGCAGGTTTGACAGATATTAGTTTTGGGAGAGGTGTCACTAAATCCGGCTCAAGGATTTTATTTTAAATAATGCGGGGGAATTTTTGTATGCGTGGTTTGGGTGACTATCATCTAACAGCAAACACAAACAAAAAATTGAGTTAGACAATGAGTGCGGTAATCTGACATTATCCATTACGTTTAAGTGCAGTAATGAGATTAAAGCGAGATTTATCTCGCTATCTTAATTAAAAACAATACTAAAACTGTGGAATTTGTTTTCCTTTTCTTTTTAATGGTTGTTTGAGGAATATTCTGCTTAACGATGTTTACTTAAATTTTACTGCTTTGCAATATTTAATATTTGAATCGACGAAGTGGGCTTGTTTTTATTTCAGATAAATATTTGGAACCTGTGTTATAAAATTTAGTAAAATATTTATTATTAATATTTTTCAGACATATACAGGGTGGTCAAAAAAATCACGCATTAAGTTTGATATTTTCAAACGATTGGTTCAGCGATTTGTTAGCCACGACTTTTTTATCATCTTGTATATACTATACAGAGTGTTGATACACGATACTTTGAAAACATGAAAATCGAAAAATTGAAGAAATCAAGTATTTAAAATATCTATAAACCGCAAAAACAACAAATTACCACATAAAAATAGAGAAATTCAAAAATTAAAAATTGAGAACTCGAAAAATTACAAATCAAAAAATTGAAAAATGTTAGTTAAATCCGAAAAAATCTAACAGTGACAACTAAAAATCAAAAATTTGAAAAAATCAAGAATTTAGAATAGTATCTAGAAATTGTATGAATAAAAAATTCCAAAATAAAAATCCAAAATCTAAGAAATAGAAAAATGTTATATCCGAAAAATTATAACAATGATACATCCAGATTGTGAGAATCTAAAAATTAAAAATTGCGAAACTAAAAATCGAAATTGGAAAAATCAGGAATTTAAAATATCTATAAACCGTAAAAACACAAAATTAGAAAATAAAAATGGCAAAATGAAAAATCGCGGGGTCGAAGAATTTTGGATTCGAAAAATTGTAACATCGAGAAATTGAAAAATCAAGAATTTAAAATACATAAACTAAAAAAAAATCACAAAAGAAAATGGAGAATCTAAAAGCGAAAAGTCGGGATATTGAAAATTTAAAAATTGAATAATCGAAAAATTGTGAGATAAATTGAAAATCGAAAAATTAAAAATCGAGGAAGTAAAAATTGAAAAAAGTCAAAAATTCAAAATATCTATAAACTGTAAAAACAAAAAAGAAAGGAGACAAAATCAGAATCGAAAATTAAAAAAATCGAAAAACGGATTATGTAATTAAAAAATCAAAAAAATCTAAAAACGACAAGTTGAGAAACTGAAAAATCGGAAAATTGTAACAATGATACAGAGAGGAACTGAAAATCGAGGAATTAATAATCGGATCATTGAAAATAGTCAAGAATTTAAAATATCTATAGACCGCAAAAACAACAAATTACTACCTAAATAAAAATAGAGAAATTAAAAAATTAAAAATCGAGAACTAGAAAAATTACAAATCAAAAAATTGAAAAATGTTAGTTAAGTCCGAAAAAATCTAACAATGACACATCGAGAAATTGAAAATCCAAAAATGAAAAATCCAAAATTTGAAAAAATCAAGGATTTAGAATAGTATCTATAAATTGTATAAACAAAAAATTCCAAAGTCTAAGAAATAGAAAAACGTTATATTCGAAAAATTATAACAATGATACATCCAGATTTTGAGAAACTAAAAATTAAAAATTGCGAAACTAAAAATCGAAATTGAAAAAAATCAGGAATTTAAAATATCTATAAACCGTAAAAACAAAAAATTAGAAAATAAAATGGCAAAATGAAAAATCGCAGAAATTGAAACATCGAGAAATTGAAAAATCAAGAATTTGAAATATCTATAAATTGTAAAACAAAATAAAAAATTGCTAAATAAAAATTAAAACTTAAAAAAAAACGAAAAATGTTATACATACTTCGAAAAATTATAACAACGATACATCGAGAAATTGAAAATCTAAAAATTAAAAATCGAGAAACTAAAAACCGAAATTGAAAAAATCAAGAATTTAAAATTTCCATAAACTGTGAAAACAAAAAATCACAAAATAAAAACTAAAATGGTATATGTAATTAAAAAATCGGAGATAAAAAAAAAAAAAATTGTGAGATAAATTGAAAATCGAAAAATTAAAAATCGAGGAACTAAAAATTGAAAAAAGTAAAAAATTCAAAATATTTATAAACTAAAAACAAAAAAAAAAAGACAAAATCAGAATCGAAAATAAAAAAAAATCGAAAAACGGATTATGTAATTAAAAAAACAAAAAAATCTAAAAATGACAAGTTGGGAAATTGAAAAGTTAAAATTGAAAAATCGGAAAATTGAAAATAGTCAAGAATGTAAAATATCTATAAACCGCGAAAACAACAAATTACCAAATAAATATAAAGAAATTCAAAAATTAAAAATCGAGAAACTAAAAATCGAAATTTTGAAAAAATCAAGAATTTATAATAGCATCTATAAATTGTATAAACAAAAAATTCCAAAATATAAATCCAAAATTTAAGAAATAGAAAAACGTTGTATTCGAAAAATTATAACAATGATACATCCAGATCTTGAAAATCTAAAAATTAAAAATTGCGAGACTAAAAATCTAAATTGAAAAAATCAGGAATTTAAAATATCCGTAAACTGTGAAAACAAAAAATCACAAAATAAAAACTAAAATGGTATATGTAATAAAAAAATCGGACAAATCGGAAAACGAAAAATCTCGGAATTCAAAAATTTTAAATTGAGAACTAGAACATCGAAAAATGTTTGATTCGAAAAATTGTAGTATCGAGAAATTGATAGTCAAAAAATTAAAAATCGAGGACTAAAAATAAAAATGGAGAAATTGAAAAAAATCAAGAATTTCAAATTGCTATAAACTGTAAAAACAAAAAATTACAAAATAAAAATCGAAATATGTTGAATTCGAAAAACTGTAACAATCGAGAAATTGAAAACCGAAATACTAAAAATCGAAAAATTGAAAAACCAAGAATTTAAAATACATAAACTAAAAAAAAATCACAAAATAAAATGGAGAATCTAAAAAATCAAAAAATGGAATATGTAATTAAAAATTCAAAAAAAAACTAAAAGCGAAAAGTCGGGATTTTGAAAATTTAAAAATCGAAACATCGTGAGATAAATTGAAAATCGAAAAATTCAAAATATTTATAAACTGTAAAAACAAAAAAAAAAGACAATATCAGAATCGAAAATAAAAAAAAATCGAAAAACGGATTATGTAATTAAAAAATCAAAAAATCTAAAAACGACAAGTTGAGAAATTGAAAAATCGAAAAATTGTAACAATGATACAAAGAGGAACTGAAAATCGAGAAATTAGTAATCGGATAATTGAAAATAGTCAAGAATTTAAAATATTATCTATAAACCGCAAAAACAACAAATTGAAAAATGTTAGTTAAATCCGAAAAAATCTAACAATGACACATCGAGAAATTGAAAATCCAACAATTCCAATAAATCGGGAAACTAAAAATCGAAAATTTGAAAAAAATCAAGAATTTAGAATAGTATTTATAAATTGTATCAACAAAAAATTCCAAAATAACAATCCAAAATCTAGGAAATAGAAAAACTTTATATTCGAAAAATTATACATCCAGATTTTGAGAATCTAAAAATTAAAAATTGCGAAACTAAAAATCGAAATTGAAAAAATCGGGAATTTAAAATATCTATAAATTGTAAAAACAAAAAATAAAAAATTGTTAAATAAAAATCGAAACATGTTTTACATATTCGAAAAATTAAAAATCGAGAAACTAAAAACCGAAATTGAAAAAATCAAAAATTTAAAATATCCATAAAATGTGAAAACAAAAAATTACAAAATAAAAAACTAAAATGGTATATGTAATAAAAAATCGGACAAATAGGAAAATGAAAAATTTCAGAATTCAAAAATTTTAAATTGAGAACTAGAAAAAATACAAATCCAAGAAATTAAAGAATCGAAAAATTGCAATATCGAGAAATTGATAGTCAAAAAATTAAAAATCGAAAAATTGAAAAAGCAAGAATTTCAAATTTCTATAAACTGTAAAAACGAAAAATTACAAAATAAAAATTGAAATATGTTGAATTCGAAAAACTGAAAGAATCGAGAAATTGAAAATCGAAAAATTAAAAATCCAAAATCTAAAAAATCGAAAAATGTTAGATTAAAAAAATTGTAACGATACATCGACAAATTGAAAATCGAAATATTCAAAATCGGGAAACTAAAAATCGAAAAATTGAAAAATCAATAATTTAAAATACATCGCGAAATTGAAAATTTATTAATTAAAAAAAGTCAAAACTTCAAAATATCTATAAACTATAAAAATAAAAAAAAACAAAATCAGAATCGACAATCTAAAAAAATCGAAAAACGTTACATTCAAAAAATTATAACAATAATACATCGAGACACTGAAAATTTAAAAATTAAAAATCGCGGAAAAAAAAAATCGAAATTGAAAAAATCAAGAATTTAAAATTACTATGAACTGTAAAAACAAAAAATTACAAAATACAAATCGAAAAATGGTATATGTAAAAAAATTAGA